TTAACGCTTTTATACTTTTCAAGGGACCCCAAAGAAAGAAGTCGTTCGGCGAGAGGTCAGGTAACCTGGGTCGCCAAAGATTCGGCATCTTGGACCAATAATATTGCCGTTAAAAGTATTTTTCCAATACTCCCTAACCATACGGGAATTATGGGTGGGACAACCATTCATCTGATACCAGATTTAATGATCTTCGCGAACAACTGCTTTTGTAATAAGTCCAATAGGTTTCTGCCCAAAATGGCCCAATAATATGATGTTCGCGAATAACATTTACTTTTGAGGATATTGGCTTCGAGTATGAACAAAATAATATTCATTATTTTGGCTCCAATACCGACAGTTTTGAACATCTGGTTCGTTGTTGAGTGTGGATCAACAATTCTTCAGTAAAATAAATATTTTCTAAAAAATGTCTATCATTATTTGCTTTATCCTTCATTTCAAAACAAAATGCCTTCCCGGAGCTCTTAATTATAGGAAAAATATTTGTATTTTTTTAATGTGCACAACACTGTGGTTGAATGTTTATTTACAGCTTCTTTAAGAATCCGTGTACTAATCATTTTGTTTTCCTTCGCATGCAGTAAAATGTTCAAATTGGACTGACATGGATTTTCACAGTTAGTTAATGATTTATGACAGCTGTTTTTTTTTCAAAACATAAATCTCGATTTGAAAAGTCAGTTTTATTTCTTTTTTTAATGTGTGAATCTGTCACTAAATCGTGAACATATATTGATATAATTAATTTATTTAAAGTCGGGGCGAATTTAATTCTAATCAAAAGATTATATTTTATATGAAATCAGAAAGTCAGTACTACCTTGTAAATAAGAAAAACTGTTACATTAATATTGAGTGTGCCTGAAACTAAAAAATGGGCTTTCTACTCTAAGGGCAGAGTTATCAGGAAAAAAGGATTCTCCTTACATATTAGAAATTATAATGATGGTTTCTTCGTTTTAAATCTGTCATATTTAAAGTGTTATTTTAAATATTTTAAATACTATTTTGTGATGCACATTCTATTATAAATTGAATGGTTTACGTTTGAATTCAAATGTACGCAATACTTTTGTTTGAAAAAGAATAAGTAATAAAAATTATAGTGCACATGTCAATTTAAAGAATAAATTATAGAATTGTATAGCGTCTTTTTGATTTATTAAGAAGCACTAATAAAGCAAAATTTAATTTAATTTTTATCAAATCTTTAGCGTTTCTTTCAATTTTACAACGTGATATACCGTTAAAAGTTTAACGGTATATCACGGTAGTATAACGGTTTAACGGTTTAACTTGCAAAATTGGTATTCCGATGCCAAGGGTTATAGCTAAAACGTGTATTGATAACCGACGGCTTCGCAATATTCGCGTTTCCAAATATTTGAGGTTATAATTTCGCGGGTGTCAATTATTTATCGAACCACGCCGATAAACGCAAATTAAACAAAATCCAATTGCATATTTTAAAGGCCGATGTAATTTGGGATACCGCGAGGTCGGTTGACCGTCGAGTAAACAATATGCGCCGAAATTGACAATTAATGAACATATTTGGACAGCAATTTCGTATGTTTTCAAACAAACATTAACGCAATTAAGAACACTGAGTTAATTTAATTGAAATTCGCCCACATTTGAAGGGTTCTTTCTTGGTCAGTTGGAAAAATCTATATCCAATAATACAATTGCATTACATACAATTAATACATTAATACTTATATGGTAAACTATAATGGAACTTGCGTTTTACATGGTGAAAAAGTAGTTAATCAAATAGATCATATCCTGATAAATATTCACTTCTATAGAAATGGAATACGAAAACCAAAGTTACACCATTAAAGTACTAATAAAAGAAAAATATACTATAAAGGAATCACAACCCCTTAAAAAGTTAGAAAATAGTATATTGTGTGTATTGTAAGTAAGTATTGTAAGCGGAGCAAACAAAAGAAAACAGAATGGAAGAAGGATTAGAGAAGTGAACAACCATTTCAAAACAAAGAAATTGGATCATTCTACCAAGCAAGGAAGAAAATAGATAAAGACTGTCATGGTTGAAATAATTACGTTAAAAGTAAAGGGAGACTATTAATATCCAAAGGAAATAAAGTGAAATTAAACACCAATACGCAGGAAGAAGATGAAGTGATAGAAAGCCCTATAGAGGAAGAAATACAAAGGATATAATAACAATAATAACAATATTAATAATAATAATAATAATAATAATAATAATATATCTTATAGGTAACTTTTTCACAAACATAATCAGGAACACACTGCTGTTTAATTTTAAAAATAAATACATAGACATTCAACATTACTTTTTGTTTTACAGTCAAGAAATTAAGTACACCCAACATGCTTTGAATTGGCGTATATCTATTACATTGTAGTATATTTCTCATGGCCCTATATTGAACAATCTGCAATCCCTCTAATTTACAATGCGGCAAATTGAATTTTGGCGTTAATTAGAAATAAAATTAATATTTTTAGAAAATACATTCATCATATAATCGGCATATGTATAAAACGTTAATTTTGAGTCAAATATATTTATTAAAAATAAATAAAATAAATTTAATATATTCAATTTACGTCGTTTATCAAAAATACAAAATGTTGACTTGTCCGTGTTTAAACACAGCCATTGAAAAGCATTCTTTATAAATAAAGGTGCCAAAACTGTCCCCTGAGGAACACCATGTTCGACAGTTATGCAATCATGTATACAATCTTTATATTTCGTTTTTTGTTCTCTACCTGTTAAAGAAGAAGCCTGTATGTAATAAGGAAAAGAATGGGAGTGAATAACATAAAAACAAAAGATAAATCTCAGGTGTACCCCAGTCTGAGAAACCAAGCCGTTGCTGGTGGAAAATATTGTTCCCGTACATAAATCGCAAATCACAAACTATAGACCCATAAAGTAAAGTTTTAGAATCTCTCCTACAGGAGAAAATATTTCATGTTGTTAAGAACCAAATATTCCTCCAACATGGAATTTTCAGAGGAAGATCCAGTATTACCAATTTAACGACTATGTCTCAGTATTTTTCTGAATCTATTGGTGAAGGTTCTCAAATGATGTCCATTTGAGAGATCCTTCAGTTTGCATATTGATTTTTCAAAAGTTTTTGATCGCCCAGATCACGAAATTCTAATTCACAAGCTCCGTGCTTTTGGATTTTTCGAATTACCTGTTAATTTCTTTTTTTCATACTTGTTTAACCGCACTCAGTACGTCTACTCGTATCTCTATGGTCACACTTCCGATGAATGCATTGTTTCCTCCGGCGTTCCTCAAGGCTCAATGTAATTGTTATTCAACATTTTTGATATATGCTTACGAAGTACATTTTTTTTAATACAGCGTTCAGAGGATCTTACTCTCCAGCGTAGTTTGGATTTATTTTCGCAATGTATTACTAAGATAAAAACGTTATTACACCATTCACTATAATTATTGTAACTATTTAATACTTTGTACTACAACCTACCTGTTAGTTGGACTTCATGCCTGTTAGATAGACTTCTTTAAATAAATAACAACTTTTTTTCTAAATTCGTTTTTAAGAAAATCCAATTTCGGTTAAAAATATGTATGTACTTATCTATATAAAACTTTGGAATTGTATAAAGTGAGCGATATTTAATAAAACGAAATTCAAAACTATAAATTCAATTCAAACGTACCTGCTTCCGCTACATTTCTGTATATCACTTTGGTGTGGTGGATAAGATTATACGCTCTTTCAACTTACACCAAATCATTTCAATCGGGTTAAATATACAATGATCTGGGAGCACTTTTTTATGCAGTTCTTTAGGGTTTTATTCACTATTTACTTTATAAGCGTCGTAGATAATGCTCTTAATTAGATCTACGTGTTGCTCTTTAAAAACTCGCGAAGTAGCAGCATCTTTTCTCACTTTCCTCTTGACTATCCCATTTGCAACAGCTGACTTCGTTGCTTTAGCCCTGTCACTTTAGGTTCGACTACCATCTCCACTTCGTCTTCAAATTATGCGTTGTTTTCCATGTCTTCTTCTAACAGGAGAACATCTGCTACATTCCACGGTCTCTACATTTTAAAGTGTTACAAAACAGGAACCTTCAAAAAATATTTAACTGTAAGATTCTGAGAAACATTTATGACGTACTGCGAATATATTCTATAGCCTTACAAAAGGCTGTTGTTATTTACAGATCGAAGAACTATTTAGAAGACTCAATTCATTGATTCATACCATATAAGTTGTCTAGTTTCTATTCGGTCAGTGCTGGTATGTATTCTCCCTGTTCCTCTTCGTATTTCTTCATTTCTGACGTGTTCTACTCTCGACACTTGACATGCTCTTTCTTATCGTTCTTCGTCATTTGCCAGCATTCTGCGCCTTACGTTAAGATGGGTTCCACAACTGCTTCATATATTCTAACAGCAAGGAATTAAGCCCTTGAGTTGCTCTTCTTCCCTGCTGATCTCTGTTTTGAATGTCTGTTTTTGAATTACCTTCGTCCGTTATGACGCTTCCCAAGTACTTATAATTTGTAGCTCTTTTTATTTTTCTAATACATAGTTCAGGGTCTTCATCTTCGTGTTTCCCCCCTACTTTCGTATATTCTGTCTTCTGCATATTCATATTCAGTCCCCAATTCTCATAGTACCCTTTCAGTTTTCACACAAGCTATAATCACTTGATCATCTGCAAAATATTTGTCATCTAAATCTATATATATTTGCTATTTTTTCTATTTTTTCCCTCCACTCTCTTAGGGCTTCTTGAATATATATTTTGAATAGAGTTGGGGACATGCTACAACCTTGTTTTAATCCTTCGTTCACTGAAAAACGGTTCGATCTATGTCCTCCCATCTTGATTACACCCATCGCATCTTCATATAGGTATTGGTATTGGTATTGGTATTAAAGGGGGGCGGCCTCGCGGGCGTCCAAGCACTTAGGCCACCAGATGGGCCCGTTGTGCCCCCAGGCCGCTCTAGAGGGCGTCCAGAATGCCGCCCCTCCTGTAGAAGGTCAGCAACTCCTTTAGCCCAATACCGTGCACTGAGTCCGGATCGATCAGGGCCGTTCCGAAGACTCCCAATCTTGCCCATGTCAAGGCAGGGCACTCAGTGAGCAGATGATACGAGGTCTCCTCCCCTTTCATGCACCACCTACACTCCGGGTCGTCTCCAATGCCTAGCAAGCAGAGATGCCTCCTAAGCCTGCAATGTCCTGTGTAGGCCCCTGTTAGTGCTCTACACTCCCTCCTGGTCAGTCTAAGCAGCTCCCTGGTCCGAGGAAGGGCGGGCCCATCCATCATAAGCCTCGCCTGCCTCATTCCCGGAGCAACTCTCCAGCCCCCCGCGGCCCGGTCTCTCGCCCAGGCTTCGAGAGCTCCCCGCCTCACACACGGGGCGATCCCCAAGCGGGGCTCTGGCCCTATATGCCTATGCGAGGAGCCCTCCCTGGCTAAGGCGTCCGCTGCCTCATTGCCCCGGACACCGGTGTGACCCAGGACCCAGACCAACGTGACCTTTCTCTCCTCAGCCACCCTCCTCAGTACCCCTTTGCACTCCTTTATCAACAAGGAGCGCGTACGCACTGACTTCAGCGCCATGAGTGCAGCCCTACTATCCGAGCAGAAGAAGACTCTCCTGCTTCCGTAGTTGAGCCGAAGCACCTCTCTGGCCGCCCTCAATAAAGCGAAAATTTCCGCCTGAAACACAGTGCAGTACTGACCCAGAGGGACCGACAAGCTTGATCCCGTTGTCTCGCAGTACGCTCCAGCTCCGGCCAGATCTCCCATTCTGGACCCGTCAGTGTACCAGACAAGTCCATCCCAGGAGCCGACTCTGCCCTCTCTCCAATCTTCCCTTGATGAAAGGTCAATTTATCAAAGAAGGTCATCTCGGGGATCATGACGTCACTCGGCATGCCCATGACTCTGCGATCCCCGCGACAGCCCTCTAAAATGTCGTACGGACCCCGATTGAAGGTTCCCTCCCTCCAGAGCCCGCAGCTCGCCACCCTCACAGCTGTCCTGGCCGCCTCCATCTGCACCCGATCCGCCAGAGAGGGCAGCCCCACCAGAGCCTTCAGGGCCCTCGTGGGCGCCGTTCTCATGGCGCCCGTTTTGCAGAGGCAAGCCAATCTCTGCAGTCTGTCAAGAACTAGCCTTGCTCCCGCTTTTTTGGTCCCCGGCCACCATGCCACTGCCCCATGCGTGAGCATAGGCACCACCATGGTACCGTAGATCCACTGCATGATCTTCGGCCCCAGGCCCCAAGTGCCCCCTACCGCTCTCCGGCACGCCCACAGAGCTCCAAAGGCCGACCTGGTCCTTGATCTTATATGTTCCTGGAAGGTCAACTTAGAGTCCAACCATACGCCCAAGTACTTGACACTTCCGCTTGCAGAAAGAGGCACCCCATCCATCGAAATGTTGAGGTTGCACTCCATCTACCTTTTCCTAGTGAAGATGACCATCTCCACCTTGCTAGGATTGACAGCCAACTTGCTGTCCAGGCACCATTGTGAGAATCTTGCCAATGCCCCGTTCAGGAGCCCCTGCATCCTCCTCACGTCCGTCCCCTGCGTCATTATCACAAGGTCGTCTGCATATGCTTGAGCATAGACCCCGTGTTCTTCCCTCAGAATATGCAATATCTCGTTCACCACCAGGCACCACAGGAACGGAGACAAGACCCCGCCCTGTGGACAACCCCGTGATGAACCGATGGAGACCTGCTCCCCACCCAGTCTTGCCTCGACCCTCCTGTCGGTTAGCATGGAGCGGATCAACCTTACAATGGCCGTCCCCACTCCAGTACTCTCCACCGCCCTGCAGATCGAGTACAGGGCCGTGTTATTGAAAGCCCCTTCGATGTCAGCGAACACGCACACCGACAGCCGTCCCGAGCCCATACCCTCCTCCAACCTGGAAGTCAGATGGTGAAGAGCTGAGCCCACAGACCCGCCACTTCGGTACGCATGCTGAGCTGGCTCTAAAGGGGCCTCCAGCTCCACCCAGTCCCTCAGATACCGGTCCACCAGCCTCTCCAGAGTCTTCATAATGAAGCTGGTGAGGCAAACAGGCCGGTACGACTTCGGGTCTGTGTAGTCACTCTTCCCTACCTTGGGAATGAACACTACCCTGCTGTATCTCCACAGCTCGGGCACGTACCCCCTCGCAATGGAGGCCCTGAACAGGTCCATCAGCGGGCTGGTCAGGAGACCTCCGTCCCTTTGCAGCAGAGCCGGAAATACTCCATCCCCGCCCGCCGACTTGAAGGGGCCAAAGCTGTCAATAGCCCACCTCAGCCTACTATGGGTAACCACCCTCCTTGCCGTGGCGTAGCCGCCTCCAAGACGACCCCCGGCTTCAATATTCCCCCCTGTGTCCGGACATATAGGTTCCATATGACTCTCACATATACATTGTTGAGTCCGGTTGTCATTAATACTTTAAACATTTTCTTCAAGGGTACCGTGTCATATGCTTTTTCAAGACTTATAAATACTAAATTGGTAGTTAAGTTGTGGGCTCTATGTTTTCCCATTACTGGTCGCATATTATCTATACAGGATTTTCCCGTTCGAAAATCGCTTTGTTATTCTATTTCTTGGAAGATATCTTCTATTCTTCTTTTAAGTATTCGACCGTACAACCTTCCCATTGAGCTAATAACCGTTATGCCTCTGTAATTATGAATAATTATCTCCTTTTTATATATAGAACTAATATATCTTAAATTCCAGTCCTCGGGTATTTGATGTCCGTGTATACATTTATTGAATAGTTCTTCCAATAGTTCTAGTAATATATCTGGTTCATTCTTTATTAGCTCTATGGGCATATCTCGGGGTCCAGCGGCTTTTTTATTTTTCGATTCCTTTAGGGCTCTTTTAATTTCAGTTATTGTGATTTTATGTACATGATCGTCTATGTTTATGTCTATATCGTCCATTTGGAATTTTGGCTTATTTTCAGTTAGCAGCGTTTTATAATACTTTCGCCATGTTTCCACCCCAATTACGTTTAATTGAATAGTTTCCTTTGTAATTTCTCTTAGGGATCTTTATTATTTTCCATGCTTCCGATGCTCTTGTGCCGCCCATGAATCTATCTACTCCTTCGCATGTCTTTTCCCAGCGTTTTTTTGCTTCTTTGTTTAGTTCCGCATATATTTCTCTATCTTTATCTCTTTTAGTATTTAGCCAGTTGTGATATGCGTTCTTCTTCTCTTTAATTACATCCTCCACTTGTTTTGGCCACCATTCTGGGTTGTTCTGCGTTTTCCTTTTGCGGCCCGAGGCTTCTTCTGCTGCCTCGTGTATATATCTTTTTCTGTCGTTCTATAGTTCCCTCGCAGATTGTTCCTTTCTTACTAGTTGTAGTTTGTTGGCTAACCTTGTATAAAAATTGTGTAGATTCATCTCGAAAACTGTCTAAGTTATATCTTCGTTCGACTTGTGTGTTATTATTATTTTCTTCATCCTCTCTTATTATGTTGATTTATCTTCTGTAATTTACTACTAGTCTTGTTACTATTAACTGATGATCTGAGCCGCATTCCAAACCCCGATTACGTCTAGGTTATTTATTCTAGATCTTTGTTTCATAATTACGTAATCAATTATTGAGGTCAGCCCTCTATTAGGTTGTGTCCATGTGAAGAAGTCATTCATAATCTTCAACGACATTCCCTGACAAAGGTGAATTAAGCGTTGTCCATTGGAATTAGTTACTTGTTCACCATATCTGCCAACTGTTGTATCGCCCTCCTTGCGGCCTGTACGTGCATTTAGATCTCCCATAGTAACTATTTCATTATCTTTCGTGATGTTAATTAATGTATCGTTAAGTCCTTTATACAACCCGTCTTTATTTTGTGTGCCAGCATCTTCACTAGGGGCATATACTGCGAGGATGATAATGTCCATTTATTTGTAATTATAACTTTAGTATTTGTTCATCTATTTCTTTCCATGCCTTAATAATTTTCTTGAGATTCTTGTATACTACGATAGATACTCCTCTCTTAGCTCTAGCATGTTTTTCCACTCCACTGTAGAAGTGAATATAATATCCTACTATTTCGTTTCCTTTACCCTTTTTCTTTGTTTCTGTTGTTTTGTTTCCTTTGTAGTTCTTGGAAGACTTGTGTATTTAGTTCTTAGACCTCGTCTGTTCCATGTACCGAAACGTAATGTCCTTTTTCTTTGCAATTTTCGTCGTCGGTTAATCCTGTCTTGGTTGTCGAAATTTTTAGCTATAATTTTTTTCCCTGGGGATAGGGAGCTGGTCTATCGCCCCAACCCTCCTCCTTTATTCGGGCTTGGGACCGGCAGCGACTACTGATGAGCTACTCAATTCACCCACCAGCAGTCCCAGGCGGAGTTTTCAAACTTACCTGTGAGATAAATAGAGTACAGGTACTTACCTTTACCCTTTGAATTATCTAGTGAAAAACAGCCTCGCAGGATCAAAGCTCGAGAATCAAGTACATAAATACGTACTTACTGAAAGCATCACACTCAAATACCTCCGTAATATATACGAACATAATGGAATATAGATTAAACTCTTAAGAGCGATACATATCACCTGATGTTAAAATAAACTTTTCTACTTATTCGCAGCATCAATGCTAAATCAAATTTAAGACGGTCCATTTACGTTTCAAATAAATATTTCAAGTTTCTACAAATATTCGTTACGGTCCATCTCAGGCAAGACTTACTCAATGCAGAACATCTGTTGATATGGGCTTTACCACGGTTCTGCGAAGATCTGCGGTTAAAGTAGTGTAAAAAACGTCAAAGCAATAAATGCACTATATTTTTGGTAGTATTATACATTTCACTAACACACGAGCTAAACAAACTATCATATTTAAAGTTTATAGGTCTATTTTTTGAAGAATATAAACTGCAAGGGTGTCTAAGCGCTCGCTCCAACAGCAGCGCCGACATAATCCTGTTTGTTTTCGCTCCAAAGGTTCCGTTAAAAATATGGGCCGATCCTCTCGCCAGACCGAGCCCTTATTTATAGACTCGCATCTCCGAGGCCGCCCTTTACACACGCGCGTAAACCAACGAAAACCGATTCCCTTTGACCGATGAGAGGGTTCGCCGTTTACCCATCCGTGGCACCCTAATCGACTCAAAGATACCGCGGCTCTGTAAAAGTGTATTAATATCGCGCTTTGACCGACAGAGTGCGCGGAAATTCGCGCGCGTTAAGCACGGTCAAAAAAGCACGTTTTTTTGCCCTTTGTGGCGTTTACTTCCACACCGTTTGTCGCCCCTGGCACTGTATCGACGATTAGAGAAACGGTTCGGTTCGTTTGAACTGTGATGAAACGCGTTCACACGCCTATGACGCTAGGCTTGCGACTCTACGAACGCGCGTAAGCGTAAGACGTAGCGCGGATCAAAGGAAACGTACGCGGTTCGTTGGTCCATGAAAAGTTTGCGGATGCGGGGTTTTATTATTAGGTTATCCTACATAGGAACATTTTTAATTATTAACTTTACGAATAAAAATGCCTCTGCTTACAAAGTTCAGCTCGGTAAGAAAATAAATTTGCCTAATAATGTTTGTACGTAAGATGTAAGGGGCGACTTCGAAAAGTTAGACGAAAGATGTTGCCTATTGGTGATATGCATAAAGTTAAGTGGCTACTTTTGATTCAAATT